CCATTGTAGAGAGTGCATCACAAATTCTTGTATCTTGAGGTACTTCTTTGGATCCCTCAAAGAGCCAACAAACATGGAAGGAAGCCTTAGACGACAGGGCTCCTCTGTGATTGGCGACGTTACAAACGGGAACAGTGCGTCGATCCGAGTACCACCAAGATCCTTCATGAGAATGATACGCCAAACAGGAATGCTGGCTTTGAAAAACCGTTGAACAACAGTTGCATCATTGCAGAACGTGCCCATTAGATCCTCATCCACAGGGAGAGATGGCGCATCATGTTCAGGGGCATCCATAAGGGGTTTGAAGACGGTCATATACTCGACAAAGGCTCGTAACTCCTGGGCAACACGCTGCGTCTCTGCAAACGTCAGACAGACATGTGAAAACGAGGTAGGGAGAGCATGGAGTCGCTCAAGAAGATGCTCAATCATGCTCAAGTGTCCACGCATACTGCGTATCACACTCTCATTTGCTTTGACAGTATCCATGGACTCTATGATGATGTGACATGCTTTCTGCAGCTTCAGAAATGTTGGCCTGCACAGGCAACCTACTCCCTCCACAATTGCTGATGGATCACATTCGACGAAGTCATAGTTGGTGAGACTACGGTAAAGCGGGTGAAAGATGTCACTAGGATCTGGTTCGATCCGACGAATGCAGGCGAGATGCGGAAATTGTTCCACATAAGCTTGCGGCCATTGTAATGGGTCATCGTGACCATACCGATAGTTGGCTCGCATATAGACTTCACGATTGGTTCCCATAGGAGGCATGCAAATCATCCCAGCATTGGGGGTGATGATGAAGCAGTCGATGTTGTCGAAGACTGTACCCCATTTACCATCAAAAGGTCCCAAAGCTGGAGGATAAAGACTTAGAAAATGGAATAGGCGAATGGAGGTCAAGCATACATGTGTTTGCTGCACCATTGTGCAACAGAATAGCTGGGTTAGAACGAATTTTTGAGGGTGTAAGATCAGGAGGCAGCATCGAAAATATCTATGGAAGTTCAGAGTTAATTCCAAACACAGTGGTTGTCACAGAAAAGAACAGGTCAAAACACATACGTATGATTGCTGGAGCTAGACACAGAGTGACTGTGTAAATGGCAGCCAGGATACTCAGCGTATACATGTTCCCTGGTAGACACCACCGATGAAAAACGTCAAATGGATATGATGACATGTTTGCATCAGTCACAGAAGAAATTATTGCCAACGAAAGACGTCAAGCAAGGTCAGTGACACAATTGTGTCAACCGAAAGAGGCGAGTAGAAGGCGACAAGACGTGTAGTGGTGAGGGTGAACAATCTTCAGAGTATGTGGGACTTAGCACCCATTTTGGAAGTTAGTGAAATGCCGAGTCCAAAAAAGTAAATAAATAAATAATCCATTTTGGATGATGACAAAGCAGATCTCTTATCGATTATCTGCTCTGCCTCTGCCTCCCACCACTACTGGCACCACACCCTCCCTTGACTGGCTTGATCCTAACGGGTTGGCCATTCTGCTTGACGTCTTTCGTCGGCAGATATTTGGACTTGACGAGCTACGTCGGTCATGGTCCTTAGCATCTTTTGCTGGGTCCATCCTCTTTATTCTATCTACTCCCCATGAGTCTTTCATCGACTTGTTCCTTACCTCATGATAATCTCCTGGAGATATCAAGACCCTGGACTTCTTGGACGCCTCTTGTTTTGCAAATGTTGTCAATGTACCCTTCAATTAGACTGAGTCTGTATAACCTCTTGACCGGGTCAACGCATACTTATCTTTTTTAGTCTCATTGCAGGCTGTCAGTCTGTTCTTTTTTTCTCTTGGAGCATGTTCTCACATGTGGAATAGCCAGATGGTGGTTTTTCCTCGACGCTGGACTAATAGGCAGTGGTGAGTAGCTTATTTGCATGTCCTTTTGCTAATCCATCGTCTGATTCACCTTACAAGGCCCATTCAAGAATGCCAAGAGGGCTATCAATTTCAGCCTCTCACCTTCCCCTTCCTGTGGTCCCATAACGGTGAGCAAACCCATACTAAAGGGAGGAATTATGGTGTTTGTGCTAGCTGATTCTGGGTGGGCATTGAAGATGTCCATATGCATAAGTTCCCTCTCATTGTTGATGGTGCACCCACTCTTAATTTCTTCCTACAGTGTTCCACCCTCCACCAGAATTGATCGACTTCAGCTCTCTCTCCCGCCAACGATGCCCTGGTATTCGCAAGCATTTGTTCTTCAGGTCAGCTCAACTTAGTCTCAAACGTCGGAAGCTGCTCATAACAACTAGTACCGTAAGTGTCTCCTTGGATTAATTCAACCTGACCGCTGACCTTTTCTATGCCTGTATCCAGGCTGTCATCATGGCACCCAGCATAATGCTCTGCAATAACTGTGGCCACTCCATGGATGCTCAAGTTCCCTGCTCTCCTGTTGATGTCAACAGGTACCTGCGCTACAGAGGGCGGATCAGCGAAGCAGAGGCAGATCTCTGTTCAAACACCATCATACATTGGCAAGAACAAGTTTTTGACTACGATGCTGAAATTTTCCGGATGAGATTTGCTTTAGGGAAGCTTGAAGGTGTTTGACAATCTCTCATTGATTGCATCCAAACATCAGATGGGCTTCTTGCTCCCATTCGTAGGGTTCCTCGTGACATACTCCAAGATATATTTGAATATGTGTATACACATTCCTGAGCTCTTCTCTACCAGAGTGTTATTATTGTGCTGGCTTTTCGAAGAGAGTCAGTGCAGGCTTTATCACTCATCGCCATATCAGATGCAAGGAAGAACAGCAGACGTCATGGGTGTGGTAAGAGGCATGTAAGGATTGGTCCAACCACGAACCATCGGACCAGAAGGCGGGTTCTGTATATGCGCCATGTTGGTTGTTGGCATTGTTCTGACACAACAATCTCCTCTTTTCCCAGCCCAGTGAGTAAGGAAACTTCTCCTGGCCTTCATTGTTCCAACCAACGTGATAGTCATATTGAGGTTGGGATCAGATGTGATGGATATAGCCATGTCGCAAGCTTTTGGTCATAGTTTCGGCGGCTGAGTGGCTTGCTGTGGATGCAGCAGGGAGCTGCTAGAGTATAAAGCATTGGTGCGAGATGCGTGTAGACTCCCATCCTTGGTGGTGTCATGCTCATCGACAATGAGATGAGTAGTCTCTGGAAATGACTGTCATGGAATTCTCAGCCCGCACTGGTTCTAGTTCATTACCCAGGCTCCTTTCGTGCTTTGAGTACTGTATCCCCCTCTGAATGCCCCGATATCATTCTGAACCAGCATTTATATGCTGTTGGACCCTGTGACCAGCACGATGACCAGGCTTTGCCTGCTCTGAAAGTCTTTCACGCAGGCTGGCCCTTACGGTTCTTTGCTGTCAAGTAACGGGGAAACTTTCTGATGCTTCAAGTCGTTCCTGGAGAAGCAGATGAAGAGCAGAACCGTATCTGGCTTCGTCCTCATGTGGTGCAGATTATATAATGGGCGTAGCCTATAATTGCCTCAATCTTGACTTGATCATCCGTCAGGCCTTGAGACGACGTGTTTTCCCTTGGGGAGTGGTATAGTGGCAAGGATACGTTGCTGATGATGGAAATCGAGGTATATGTGTGCAAGGAAGGCCCCACGGAGATCCTAAGTGAGTGCTTTTGCAAGCTGAGTAGCGTTCGCATCCTTACCCTCTCAGTACAGCATCCCCTCTTTGCATCAACACTTCCCGTACCTTCCCTCGAGCATCAAGTCACCAAATTCCGAGCGACACCAACCTCTCCATTTGAGTATGACGACTGCTGGCATTTCTTGTACCCATTTTAGCACTCCACTTGCTTCACTTGCCGTTGGCCTGGCATGCGGCAGTGACTATTTGCCTTCATCGTTGCCTGTTCTTTCACAAGCCCAGGTGACTTGTACTCATGACCAGTTCACAACCAGCCTACCAACCTTGCCGTTGTCATCATCATGCCTGCTAAATGCCAAGACCTCCGAGTTCAAACCCTTTCGACGACCACTCTCTGCTGCATCATCTAATTCAGGCCCTTTACATGCAAATACTCCATCAACTAACCTCTGGTCACATAGTCCATTCAGAGTCACATTCAATCTAGCCATCTTGATGCCCCTTCTTCCTGATCAACCTTTCCTTAGTTCCTCTCTTCTTTCTCTGCTCTTCTCTCATGAACATGACAGTGATGAATGCAAATGCTTATCTCTTGATACACCTCGTCTTCACCTACCTCTGCACACTTCTCGTGCTTTATTTTACATACAAGAACTATCATCGCTTCATTCGCAGCAACTCTTCTCACTGGTGCTGGTGCTTCCGTATGTGCGTGTGCAGTCATGACTATGAGCCTCCCATCACATCTCTAGGGGGAGCATGCTCTAGCAGAATACTTAAGACGTGCAGTTGAAATGGAGTACTATAGGGTGGGCAGACAAGGAAATGCCCTCCGGATTTTGGCTGGTACAATGGAGACAGTCTGTTCACCGACATGTACACCTTTGCACTGGATCAAAGCCATGTCTCTTAACGGAGCATCTTGACGCTTGCTTCGGATTCCTTTGTTGGGTTTCAATATACAACACCATTCACCGTGACATTTCTACTCTTGCACCTTCCAAGCTGCAGGAGGCGCTCACTGCCAATGCGTACAGTTCTCACCAATAGTACTGCCAGTCGCAAAGCTATGGCCAGTTAGGCTGACAACCTCCATGCTTGATCAGTGATTGTCGCATCCAGACCGTCACCTCGACTCAAACACCATCTTCCAGCACTACTGAGGGACTTGTTCCTTGTACTTGTTGACTTATGGCATACTTAGAGATTCAGTAATGAGAAAGATGGTCCAGGTAGATGCAACCATGCTATCCCGCTGAGAGAGAGGCGGCTTGAGTGCAGAATAGAGACTCGAATGCAGATATTCTGTATCTTAAAATCTCAACACGATATGAAACACCTCCTATTGTATCCTCGGCTCTTACCACCATGGGTGTTAAAGGTGGTTGGGATGTACGTTCATCTGTAGTGGTCTAGGTATTCAATGTTACTCATGTTTTTCACAGTTATTAAATCCAGCAGACTCTATGTCGTTAGTTGAATGGTCCTGCTCAAAACATTTCGACCGGTACGCTTCACAACTCGGGCCCATGCATAGGTGTCGATGCCAGGTATTTAACACGTGCATATCATCCATGTTGAGACTGACTAATCTTTATAGCGGATGGATGTTTGCTGCGAAGTACCATTATGGACAAACGAAGAGTCCAGCGCAAGCAGTCATTGTTCAAGTGTTTGGGATGCCTTTTTCACCTTCCAGTGTCGCCCATATTTGTTTTCGACGGTCCAAAGCGTCCTCTGAATAAGCGTAAAAAGAATATAACCAAGACAAGCGACTGGTTAACTGCGGACTTCAAGCGACTGCTCGAAGGATTCGGGTTCCCCTATTGGGATGTACGTTGATCTATCTTTGTCCTGTTTCCTCTCTCATAAAGGACTTAGGCTCCTGGCGAAGCTGAGGCTGAGCTAGCACTGCTCTCAAACAATGACCGGATCGATGTCGTGATGTCGGAAGACTTCGATACAATGGTATTTGGTGCTCAACGAGTGATGTGAATGTGGGTAGTATCTTCCTCACTCTATCAATGTCATTATTGAATGGAACATATTAGTACTGATGAAAGCGACTCCAAGTACATGATTAAAGTATATGAAAAGGGGGCACAGTTTTCTCCAAATGAGCTCATAATGATTGCATTACTTGCAGGAGGAGATTATGATGTAAGTCATTTGAAATCATCGGTGAACTTGTTCTTACACATGCATCATGCAATAGGATGGGATTCAAGGGTGTGGAATCCAGACTGCTGTTGACATCACCCTAACCGGCATCGGTGAACGACTCTTTGAGGCCCTCAAAGCATCTACAGTTGAAAATTACCCCGCTATTGCTTCCATGTGGTGCCAGGACCTCTATGCAATGTTGGACTCCCAAGGAGCTGGCCGTCTTCATTCCCGACGTCGTGCACTGGCTTCGCGCATCCCTCTGGATTTTCCAAAAGTTTCAGTCCTGATCCAATATATTCAACCATTGACATCACAGTCAACTGGCTCGTTCACTCTACCTGCTGCTCCAGTACCATGCCCACCCGACATTCCCAAACTTGCACGGCTATGCGAGGAATTATTCATCTGGGGACATTCGATGGGTATTGTCCAGAATTTTTGCGATCATGTTTTTCCAGGACTGGCAATCCGTGAGCTGCTTCAGGACTTGCATAAGCGACGAGGTGTTATGCAGGAGAGTGATATGTCATTGTCCTCTTCTGCTATCATTTCCAAAGTTTGTTCCATCCGCTGCAAATCAACGTGAACGATCAGACTCCGAGATTTTCGTCTCCCTTGTCATTCCCCATGCAGTTATCACTCAGATCACTTCATCAATTGATGGGGTATACGACACTGATATCACCCAGAACTCCCTTGAGCAGTGGCTAGAGAAACGCGAAGCTCGCGTATGGCTTTCCCGTGTACTAGCGCTCCATGCACGGCCAAACATCTTAGATGATGTGGAGCATCCAACATCCAACGCTGCGAAGAAACGTAAACGTCAAAACTCGCGCAACAAAGAAAAGGGAAGAAGAATGGAAACTGCCAGGGCCGACATTGCCACCACAGCAGTCTAAACGGGTGGATACTAAAGTCAGAGAAGAGAGCGAACACCGGCGAGGTGAGACTCACAGTTTGAGTCAGGAATGTATAACTCATGTGCTATAGAAACTCCCGCAGGGCAACGAGCTCGCTCTGTTGAGGTTATCAATATCTCTAGCGATGAGGATGAGAGGGCGACAGGTAAGAATTGCCTGAGTTGATGTCTTGGAAATGAGTAACCTCAAGCTATCTTCTAGAAATGTCAGTGAAAAAACGCCACCGTCGAGCAGCGTCCCCGACGTATCACATCCAGATTCACTATCTGGAATCTGGGGAGATCTTAGAGCTTTGTACAGGATGATGAAGGCGCTTAAACAGGGGTGCTACTCCTATTTGTCATATATAAACCATGTACTTTCGTTTCCTCACTTTCTGTCTCTCCCTCTGTATATTGCGATGACTGCTGCAACCAAGAACATGGACAACGGCAATGATATTACAAATGCCAAAGGGATTTGCAGAATTCTTGACAAGTCTCGAGCTGATTATCCGGATCAAACTGAAATTGAGGACGACATTGAAGGGGAGCAAGAAACCTGCGGCGATTCTTTCAATCATGACGATGATGGTGATGTACAAATGGATGCGAGTGTGTCTGTTGAGGACAATGATTTTCTTACTGTCATCTGAGAGGCATCGAAAGGCGTCCAAGAAGGCACTGGCGGACGCTTATGAAGGGTATAGCCAGGCTTGTTTACTTCTCTTCTCTATCCCGCTGATTGACTTTATCTTTTCAGTGTCATGAGACAGTTCAACGAATTTCTCGTTCAAGAGCAGGTTCATCCAACCTGGCACTGACATCTTCAAGCAAAAGGTGCTTGATCCAAAGATCGATTATTATATTGTCGGATTTATTATGAGCAAGTATGTATATCCCTTGCAATTCGCAACGATCATCTAACATTCATTTAATTAAGATGCGATGACTGTGATATGCATGGGGTTGATAAAGGGCCGAAGGACGTTCAAAGGACCTACTCACACGTGCAGAAGCTTTGGGCAGGTACCACATATGGCTTTCGGACAGCCGGTGATAGAGATAATGTTGCTTGGAACAGGGAAAACACCTCCGGAAATCCCTCGATCTCACAACTGGTTTCATGCTACATGGTTGGTTTACAAAAACGCAAGGTAATGGACAATGAGAGAAACTACTATTACCTGTCTGACGAGCTTTCCAGGTAGCTAAAGGAGAAACTCCAACCAGTGCTCGGGCCATTGGTCCCGTAGGTCATTTCTTCGACTCGTGTTCCTCGGCTCATAAATTTTTCTAAGGACGATCTTCTGCGGCTGTACGACTTCAATCGCCGGCCTGAGAACTGGGATAATACCAAGTTATCTGCTGCTAACTGGTGTGGAGGAAATATGCGCCGTCTCCTCCAAGCGGTCTATCTTGTTGCGTTTACGTGCCTACTTCGCATTGACGAGGCGCTGAAAATACAGGTTCACGATCTACGTTTCTATGATGATGAATTGGACGGTACAGCTTGCGTGTCAGTCACTTTGCCATTCCGTAAGACAAACCCATATGGCAGTGAGTTTATCTAGCGCACTGGGACTTTTGTTGTAATGCTGACTTCTGCACAGAGATACCACCATTCATACTCCGAGAGCTCCCAGAACATATGGCGCACCTATGCCCTGTTAGAGCACTCGCAGAATGGGTCAGTGCCTCAAACATTCTACACGGTTATCTGTTCCGCAGGATGGATAAAAGAGATAGACCGATTGTTGCGAAGAATACCCATATGGTGAGGTACTTCATTTCCCTATCATTAGACTTGATGTACTTATTCTTGATCCCCGTCAGACCGTGGAAGCATTTCTCGAACTCTTCCGCAACAATCTATGGGACCTAGGCATAGCACCCTATGCTTATGGCATGCACTCGTTTCGCCGCGGGGGCTGTCAGTGGCTCTCTGTCGATCTTTGTTGGTCACTTCGCCAAATATGCGAGTGGGGTGGCTGGAGCACTGAATTTTCCCACTTGACCATCATTAAATACCTTATCTCTTGGAACGATAATCCAATGCTTCGACGAGATGAATTCTTCAAGCTTGACCGTCAAGTAACCATTCAATGCTGGACTTGTGGTCGGACATGCCCATGTGCTTAGGTATCACCAATAACGTAGTTATTTGTCCAAAAAAGTACTAGTGAAAATTGTAATTATTGTTCTCGTTGTCAATCCCTCTTCGCATTCGCCATCTTCTTCCTGTAATGACGTGCAATATCACAATCTTTTTTCATAACAACCCAAACCTTCTCCTTCTTCTTTATGTGGCGAAACTCATGTTCGAACCTGTCACCATACTCAGCCTTTGCTTTTGTGGCTAATTCTTTATCAGCCTGCTTTCGGTCAGCAAGAAGGAGAGTAGAGATTCGAGAATATGAGAGCCTTTGACCACGAGTATCTGAGTACTTAGCCCAGAACACGTCTGGTGTGAGAGCCTGATAGGCCTTCATAAATACTGAATAGCCAGGGAAATCAGGGATAAGCAAGCGAGACAAATTGCATCTAGAAAACAATGTACCTGCCAATTAGTCCACTCATTCTTCAGTCGTTTCCATTCATCCCCTGTTGTCCTGTTGTAACAGTACAATTCCTTCCAGAGTCTGACAGGAATGTCATGTCCACGGATCGCTATCAGGTGATCACTAGGAGGATTCCACTCGGGGCTGCCATCATCCCAGCTGGCAATAAGCTTTTGGATATCTGATGCATATCGGAATGGTGTCGTAGGTGGAACTTCACTTTGATTGAAACATAAGCGACTACCATCAGCAAACAGTAAAACACATAATTTGGAGCTGCTGGACGTGGCATCAGAAGCTGCAGTGCCAAGGGGTTCAGTCAGAGGTGGACAGGCCATCACCTGGGGAGGCGGAGACATGGAGGGCAGAGCAGCTGACTCAAGGGTAAGATCTTTGAATGGTATGGTGGGCAAATCAGGCCGATCCACATCATCAACAATGTTGACAGAATGAGCTGTAAGCCCCAGGCTAGTGGTGTCAAAGTCAACTGAGGGACATGGAGAAAATGAGGCCGTAGTAACGTCAGTCGATGATGCATGGGCAGCCAGCCAGGCCTCGACAATGGCAGCAACACGCTCGGCAAAGAGCCGGTTGTTGAGCAGATCTGAGTCCTGCAAGAATTCATCAATTGTCAGAGCAGAATCAGAGCAGAATGACAGCAAGGGACTTACTGAGGGTTTTCTATAAGGCATGTTGTTTACCCTCCGCTCGGGCAGATGGGTGTGGCGCGGGACTCGCGGCAGAGCATTGGCAATCTTCGCCAGCACGCGATGACACTGAGAAACTTGTTAGAAAAGTTGTGTCATTAATACATAGGATAGGGAGCGAACCCATGGTATGATCCCGTCAACCTCAGCCTGAGTCCAAGTGTCCTTCGAGCGTTGAATGGAAAATCCCACTGGAGAGGTATTCAATGGCTGGCTTGCATTTGCGTTGAGGAGGCGTGCACGTCGTTGAGTTGGCTTTCTTGCCTTCACTTTCGTGATACCACCACTTCGAACGCCTTTGTGAGAAATCTGCGCTGGGAGAAGCAAGCTGGAGGGCAATAAGCTACTGAAAGAATATCATGAACACTTATTGACGCACCTAGATCTCCATTTCTCCATTCCACCTTTGCTGAAGTGGATGAGTCGCTCCCGTCGCTCGGCTTTGGAGCCATAGCGGGGGAGATGGAATTGCCGGCATAATTCTTGGAAGCCTGTACTCGTATTTGAACTCATGGACCTAGAAAATGTCAGAACATGGGTAAGCAGGATATCGGTATAGGTATAAAGAGGGTGGATGTACAAGTCGATGTCCTCAACCCCAAAGTCCCCATTCTGGTCCGGGCCCATAGGAAAGGCGTATTTGGCTTCTTCATCTGGGGCCATGTTGATTATCGCCGAAGGAGGTGATCCCACTGGCCTGGGCAGAGGCATGGATGGTGGTTCCTGTGCTGCGTCGTTCATCGCGAGTCTAGCTAGCCCAATGGGTTCAGCACGTCGGTGTCGAAGACTCCTGAGCTTGAGGTGGACAATGAGGATGACCACGGATACAAAAACAACGAAGGCGCCGAGTACTGCAAGACCAGCAGCAAGGTCTGGTATGTTGGAGGTGGTGGTAGTACTGTCCTTTCCACCGGAACTGCAAGGAAAGGTCTCAGATATTAGTAATAGGAGCTAGCGAGCAAAAATAATGGGTGCAAGAGAAAATAATAGGTGCAAGGAAGAGGGAGGGGGAAAAGTCTCGACGCGACGCGACGCGACATGACGTGAATAGCAGGGCAGGGGAGAATGGAAGAAAAAGAAGATGCGCAAAGAATGGAATGGGGAAGAAGATGCAGGGGTAAGGGAAGGGATGGAAGACAACACAACCGGCAGGGAATGGGGAGGGGGAGGGAGGAGGACACGATCGGCCGCGCCCAACAAACGACGATCATCTCATTGGAGGATGAGACGGAGGCAGTGGAGGGGAAAGCCAAACACGAGAGACGGCCTGAGGACCGTCTCTCAGACGCCACGCGAGACATTGATTCCGGCAAATGCCGCGTGATGGAACCGTCATGATCCCGAGAGAAGGGGCTTGGAACGAACCTATCTCCCTGCATGTTCTCGATCAAAGAGGCTTATTTTATCTTGTCAGATTCTGTTCCGTGACACAGGTATGATGTCAAGATCCTTCCAAATTGAAACAGAGATACAGGATGGCCTCGGCTGGCACAGGGTCATCTTGATGTTGACGAGGAACCGTTGATGAAAGATTCGGACCATTCAGTGTGGGACGCACAAATGCCGCTGCGACGGCGTCTACGCAATAACAGACAAGCAAATGGAATTGGGACATCACTTTGTTGCTTGCAGCAGCTGCTCCGAGGTCATATGGGTCGAATACAAGTTTGTGGGGCAAGAAGAAGTTAGAAGAGGGTCTCTCGTAGCAGTTTTCTGTAGGCTGATGTCACACAGGCTTAAGTTGCAATCAGTGTTGTGCCGAGGGAGCCGAGGTCAGGCACAAAGTCAGGGACAAGCCAACCGAAGCCAGTATTTTCTGCCCTGACCTTTTCCCATGGACTTCGGTATGGCTCATAGGAGCCAGGCTATATCACCTGGACCTGGTTACCACCGTGCCTTCGTATTGTGTTCGCGCTGAGATTTAAGCAGTTCTGAGTCATTTCCACAGAAGTTCCTAATTAAGCATGGACAACGGAAGCTAAAGCGTCGTCAATATCAGACTGAGGGTATGCAATCTCGAGTATACAATCACTACAACGGGAGTGCGTGTGGCACTTTTCCCCGGTCACGTTTCCGACCAGCCAACCTGTGCTGTTTCAAGCACCGACTCATCAAGGTCACATAGCTCATAGAATTCCGGGTCTGGCCTAGAATTCCAATTCCTCTTCTAAACTCCGTGTTGCACCACGCTGATGAGTGACAAACCACGACATTGATTCAAAATTGAATAAATCATGAAGAAGGAAGGAAGTAGGTTTCATTAGTCGTCAGTACTCCTGGATCGTGGGTCGGAATTGAAGCCAGAGCTATATCGTGCTGTAATCCTCCGTGATGGAGCAGCCGTGATGATAAGAAACAGATCACTCGTATTACGTTCTTGAGAATTATCGATTAGCATTCGTCCTCCAGAGATATATTCACGATGACGAAGGAAGAAAATGGTACAATGTCGATGTATTGCATCCAGAGAGAAACATCAACGTCATCCCAGCAATCGTACTAGTCTTGCCCTTTCGGACCCGCCTGTATCTCCCGCATGTACGGATTCGATAACCTTCGCACAGCCTAGTCTACCGCTGAAATCAGGTGCAGCAAGTCCGGCGGTACCAAATATGATACGACATCAATGCAGGAGTCTTCTGCAATGGATTCAACGGCCAGCTGGTACACTACGAGCGCAACTCAATGAAGGCACCGAAGTTGATGGTATCTAGCATGATGTAGATCTAGTGGAGAGTGAGTAGTAGGTAACTACGAGGTGATGGAGTGAACGAACATCGATCTCCGTTGTGGCATACAGATATCTTGATGTTCCTTACTCAAAAGGTCGTCCATTTTGGATCCGACGTGGAGCACGGAAGGTCCGAGTCAGCTCATACGTGAAAAGAGACGCGATTCGTTTCGTCTCAGCAGGGCTCTGAACCTGGACTAGCTAGTCCGACTGTTTCCTCGCCAGACAGAAAATTCCTGATGTGCTCCTTTTCGGATGCCTCCTCTTTACCCCTCATATTCGGATCCCGGTCTGTCGACGCGTTGGCATGAAGATGGCCGAGTACAATTAGCAGGGGCCATTCATGCATGACGCATGGATGTTGTTAACATGAGCAAGAACTAGACGACGAGGAGACGACGGGTTGACTTGCGAAGGACAGAGGATACGCGAAAGAAGATAGAGCAACGGTTTGGTGAACGACTCAAGCTTGTTGGCAACCTTCTTTGATCGTTATGAACTGCACATGAAAGTGACATCAGTACGAGTTTAGCGGGATAGGCATGGTGGACTTACCCAAGATTTGGAGAGCTTTGACAGAGCACGATGCAGAATCCTGCAACTCCCTCCTTCCCAGCCATCTCCCTCTGCACAAACTATCGGGTTGATCCGTCGTCCGATTCTCATTCAAGCTGAGGAACCCCTACTCTTGGAGGTACCCGAAATCTGGCCATGGGAGGGGGCTTCTGTAGCGTGCGTAGCTAGGTGCGCAGGTGAGGAATACTGGTTGTCGATGGTGGGAGACGGAAGAGATTTTTGATCGGACTTTCGGATCCATCTTATCCATCCGATGACTCTCCTACAACACTTCTCAGCTCCACACCGACTAGAGCAAATCGGCGAACCACCCGGCCGTCGATGTACTAGGTAACCTGGCTTGCGATTCTTAGACCACTGCTTTGCCAGGTTGCCAGCGCCTTGAGTCTGAAGTCCTGCTCCCATGACCATTGAATGGCTAAAGTAGAGATAAGCCAGAAGTGAAGACTTCGACGAGCTACTAGTACAAGGAACAAGAATCAGCTTTCAGGCGATAGAAGCGAAGCACGGATACATACTGGTTATTGATTGAAACATCGGGCTTGTCCCAATGTGATCAGTATCCCCGTTGCTTTGTTGGGTTGAATAGTTGCATGTTGAATATCGATGACGCGTAGGGTCATGCCGCGAGTGAAGTATCCTGTGGTAGTTGTGACGACTGCCTAGCGTAAGAGCGGCTCCCAGCCGACATATTATAATACATAGCAGTTAACCGGCCGGCATAGATATTACGACGCGGGGCTAGCAATTGCATGGCGAGGATGAGGCCAAAGATGTATACCTGCGGAGGTTTAGCTAAACGCTGTGCTTTCCTGGTAAGAGGGGGGTTAGCTTACGGTGGAGACGATCTGAAAGACTTGAACGATGTCGGTAGGTAAGACGATACTTCATTTTCTTATGTAGAACACAGCCTTGTACTCGATACGAGTGGTCTGTATGAGCATGACGAGGATGTGTACGCAGTGCAGACTGCGAAACATAGACCGTGAAACACCACAATTTTTTTGCATTAAGCACATCCCTCCCTTCCATTTGTACTCTTCGTTCCTATGTCGCTTCAAGTCTAGTGGAATCTGCCAAATAGTCTTTGGTAAACCTTCAAGGAAGCAAATCCGCGAGACGCTCGGGTATCTTTGACTTCCGTGAAGAACGTGCTTGAGGGCGCAAAAAGCAAGTCGCGTTGTCGGAAATTGGATCCCCAATTGAACTATAGAGAAGTGAGTACAGCTGAGAGTAGAACGGAGAGGGGAAAGTACTAACCATCCTGACTACGCACTCCTCTAACTCACAACTCTGCACTCTTAGCTTTGCTCATGTCGTTGTCGTCTGGGCTCCGAAAGTGATTTGAGTGATCCAAATATGGACTTAGAGGTCCTTTCGTTGCATCGCGCAGCAGGAATGCCAGACATAGCGGCTGGGGCATCAAAGCATCGCATCAGGAGAGCCACCTCTCGAGGAGGACACGTTTGGATTGGTCGGTGTAGATTTAGAGTCCGACTGAGACCAGGCGAGTCGTGTCGTTTTTGGTCGGGTGGGCGGTGCGTCGGAGGGCTCATCGATTACAGCTCGCAGAGTAGGAAACCTGTAGTAGCACGCTTGTCTGATAAAATATGGATAGTGTTCGGTCTCAACGTATGGAGAGAGAACGGAGAACCTGACAAGTGGCCAGTAGGCATGTCGGCTGGAGAAAAGGACATCGCTGTCTTCGCCATCCATATCGTAGACCTGTAACCGATCGTCTTGAATGGGAGGCAAGCTCACGATCAAGACGACCTGTAAATCTGAGCTCAAATTTGGCTGATACATTTTCGCTTATCTCACACCTTCCTAAATAGAATTTGATACCTAATTGGGAACGGCTGTGCTGCGTGGCTCTTCATGCACTACCATCATCGCAACGCACTTTCTTCGCGCCTGGCTGCCATGATTGTACAAAGTCCTCACGCCTTCTCTGATTTCGTCTATGGCTGTATTCTTGCAACTGTAGACTGAAATACTCGCCGCTCACGGATGTCTGGAACAGCGTTACCTTCTGTTTAATTCATTCCTTGCGGTTATCACCTTCGATACTCTACCGGTACCTCGTTAAATCCATGATTACATCCTTCTTCTTGTTGGCTATTATCCTTCTCGTAGATGACAATTCCCTTGTGACTTTCAGATAAGACTGGACTGGACCTTGTAATATTACTTATTTATGTGCGTGACGTGCGATCCATGTTGATGAGACTGGACTCGGTAGCATCTCAGGGACATTCATTCTTTTCTGAGCTCGCGCATGTTATCGATGTTGCAGGAACAAAATTAGCTGGAGGAAATATTTGTTCGCGTTGCTGAGTGTGATTAGGTACAGAGAATACAGAGTAGACGGGTTAGGTGCGAGCGCTGAAAGCTGGAGTTGGTTTGGAAGACATGTTTTATGAATTGGTGTCCTCGTTGGATGAATAAATGCCTCTATTGCAGGCGAATAAAATATTGACGCAAACGCGACGCGGTTCTCAGCCATTCCCAATTAGGTATCAAATTCTATTTAGGAAGGTGTGAGATAAGCGAAAATGTATCAGCCAAATTGAGCTCAGATTTACAGGTCGTCTTGATCGTGAGCTTGCCTCCCATTCAAGACGATCGGTTACAGGTCTATCCATATCGTACGACTCGTCGCTGTTGGCTTGGGAAGCTACGCTCTAAGTCTCGTATTTGGGAAAACAGGACTATCGTGCATTCGGGGCGAGCGGCGGAACACACCAAGTGAAGCTGCGGGATAGTATCGAGAGATCTAAATAGTGATGTAACAGATGAGCTGCAAGACAAGAAATCCTTGATTTCTTGGGTTTGGGGGGAGAGAACTCGGCTTTGAGAAAACTGTGAGTTGAGCAGAAGGGAGACCGGCAATGAAACCAGTCCGGAGATGGATACCGGGATGAAGAGATGCCGGAAGCTCAAACTCGTAGCAGTGGAAAGCCGAGGACTCAGTTGTTCGGGAAACCTGAAATCTGAGCAACCGAAAAGACGTAGCTGCACGTCAGACCAGGCGCTACCCAAACAAAGAAGGGAGTAGGTGGGGTGGGTCAAAAGAGAGCGAGAAACGGGCGGAGCGACTGAAAGAAGAGAGCGGAGAGAGAACGAAGCGAAAATACACTTGCACCGAATAGCGCAAGACGATCGCGTTGTTTGGCTGCCTCCGCTTGAGCCAAATAACTGGGGGAAATGCGATGAAGCGCTGGGGCAAAGGGGGATCTCTCTGATCACTACGCTTTACTTGGCCAATCACAGAGTTTGAAGCCGTTCGTTCCTCACGTCAAACTTGTGTGGCATATGGGTAAGCGTAACGGTGCTTCAAAAGTTTCATGCGATGTAGGTCGAGGGAACGAGGGCCAGGTCAAAAACAAACCGCCAGTAAACGGCCTATCAATATCCTTGGAGCCGATACAAA